GAATGTTAATAACAACTGAGAATTTTAGCTTCTTCTCAAGGGATAATTTAGATAGATCATTTAATGAGATTCAACCTCAAACGCATAGGAAAGAATAATAATTATGCAAGATTACAAAAATTTACATCAATTTGAGATGCTTTATCTGCAGAATGTGAATATGAACAAAGTAAAAAGTACACAAGCCATTAAAATATTGACAGTGAGCATCAAAACAGAAAGCCAAACCCACATCTCCATGTAATAAGATGTAATGGAGAAAACTAAATATCAATTTATTGAAATTTGGACTCCGCTAGATTTCAATATTTTCTCAAAGTTTCCTAGTGAGGAATCATTTAGCAGCATACATATTAAGATTCTATAATTTTAAATTGCAACTTTTGCACCTGTATATCGATCATAAAACTAAATTTATGGACGGTATTCACCTAATCTAAACACTGAATATAATGGACAAACTTGATTCAAGGATAAAGAAGAACTTGCCTCGTAGCTTGACAAACCATCTTTGTCATTGCAATGTTTATTACCACATAGAAACTGTCCTGACAATCAAAGGCACTCAGTTAGTACTAATTCCTACAGCAACTGATCAACTAATTAAATTTTTTATGAGTGAAACAGACAAACTAAATGCAAAAGACATAATGGCCTAGTTTCACGGTGCTGAAATAGCATGCAAAAGCTAGCACCCACATCTGAAGCTAATCCATATTGACAAAGATGCATGTGCCTGCTGGGTTGGGGCCAAAGCTAATAGGGGAGGGAAAGAGATGTGAAAAAAATAATAATAATAAGATACAGGTTACATACATTTCCAAACCAGTTGTCTTCAAACAAAGCTGCCTAAAACAGTAGGAAACTGACACTTCAAGGTTATTATTAACTGCTAGCAATATTGCCACAGCAATTTTTATAGAAGTGACAAATCCTCCCCTAATTGCCTTAGCACATTTTAATGTCAATAATTAGGATAAACTTTCTCTCCTCCCCATGCCCCCCACCCAGTGACCCCTCTTGTTTTTCTGTGTTTGCTCTTCTCCCACGAGCAAATCATAACTAGCAACACCCTACAACTGTCAACTTTGTAAAAATCGTTCTCTACTAACTGCATCACAAGTTATTCTCTTCGTATATCAATGTGGAGCAATTTGGATGAAAGCACGAATCTAAACACTTGCTAATCAGAATCAAAGCAATAATTAAAAATATGATCAACAAAGGCAGCCTTCCTTCACAATTACAATCCACTGCCAGAGAAGTTATCTGTTCCTAATGATTATATACACGAGAGAAAAAATTTCTTCAGTTCATGATACCGTGAGCATCTCATGGCCTCAATGCGTTCAGTCTTAATGTGATATGCTCACCCACACTTATGGTAATGCCTATAGCTTGTTGCCCTTTTATCTGTGTGAGGTTAGAGATAATTTTTAAAAGAGGCAAGATGTATTTGGTCATATTTGGAAGATGCAACAAAATTTTATGGCCATGAATTTAAGACAGAGAGAGCTTGAGCTTGAGCATTCCATTGTCATGGAAGAAGCATCAGAGGCTTCACCACTAAAGGTTAAATTTGTCTGCTAGAAAAATTAACTGGAAGAAACATTTGTGCTCTGGCATCTCACCAGCCATTATTAAATGTGAATCAGATAGAAAACCAGAAGCACGATTTTTCAAACTACACTGTTTATTTATAGCCAACATGATTATTTGTCAGTGATCATGTACTTTTCTGTATGTGTGAAATTTAACTAAATTTCAAATCATTAAAGCCCAAATGTATTGCAATTATCCAAAATTAATAGAAATCCAATGCCAAGGAATTTTCAAAGTTAATATTCTGATGGCTCAAGAAGTAAAGTAATATGAATTCAAAAGTGGTCTAAAAAATTGGAAGAGAAGATACATATGAACATAAACATTTTATAATAGGTAAACTAAACCAAGTAGGTCTGGAAAATTAATAAGATCGTATGTAATTTCAGGCAATCAACAAATATGTTCTACAATAAAAAATTTATTTTAGGTCCAAAGTAACAAGCAGAAGTTTCAACCTACCTGTATAATAGTAACGTATTTATGTAGCCCCCTCTTTAGAAATGAATAGACAAATGGGTTCCCATTGCAAGGAAGGGAGATAGGGGAGCAAGAAATAGAAGGCATTATTCGATTGCTACAGATAGAAGCAAAATTTTTTATCATAATTTTAACTTTGTACTTTCACTCAATTGACAAATGAGAAATAAGCCAAAAATACAATCCTAATTTCTCAAACCTAAATTCAAAGTTCTACAAATCAATCAAGTGCAAGAACTGAATTAAGACTGTTTTTACAGAATAGCCAATCATGGTAAGTGTTCTAGCTCAATCGGTGAATATAGAATAGCAAGTATTCCAGAATAAAAATAAAAGCTAAGAATATCTAGAAGAGCAATTGAGAGAATGATTAATACAACATGGATATGCATAAGTTTGTAATGAGCAAAATATTACTTATAGAATCATTTGACATAAGATTATACCTTTCCCGGATATTACTTCTTTTTCAGTCCTCCATCTCAGACCAATCTAAGAAGAAAACAAGGTATAACTAAGAAAACATCTTCACCAACAAGAATTAGGAATAAAATATAACCAAATATATTCTCAATCACATGTATGCTAATGTCATGGTCAAATAAAATGTTATAGAAACAAATGAATGTCAGAATGTATTTGTCAGTCTCAAAACATGTGTATCTTCAGGAAGATGACATTTATAAAACTTCTTTCATCTCCAAAATGAACAACTTTACATAAATGTTTTGCCATATAAAATAAAGCTAAACTATGGGAGCGTATTTAATGATCCACAAGTACTCAGCCAGAACTTATCTTATTGTACTTTAAGGTTGGTTATTGGGTGTGATGCCAAACCTCGACTGGCTAACAATGGAAATTTTATAGATCATTTTCTACCGTCCAAAAGGAGCATATTGTTATGAGTTTGAGTCAGCGCACTCTCCTATCTATTTTGAATTGTACTTCCAGAATCAGAAAAATTAAAAAATTAAAAATTAAATAAAATAATCGCATGCATGCCTACCTTACCAGTCTTGTAGTGAGACATATCAGCTATGCAGTATCTCCAATGAGTTAAAGATATATACAGTGAAACACCGTAGTTTTATACAAGACGTGGTAGCAACTAGAAACAAATCACAATTAGCTGGAAAGCCACTAAACGCTAGGAATGTGCTACAGAACAGAAACAGATAACAATTATGCACAATCAGAAACGGACCAACTGAAGAACAATTCAACTTGCATGACTTGGATAGTGCTAGTTCATAAACCATAGTCATTAATGTGCAGACAGCATGTTAAAAATGTAACTGCAGAATGCGAATGGATGTTAGTACATATCCCTTTTCCCTCATAATTTCAGGCACAATGGCACTGAAAGGTGTCAAAGGACATCCAACAGAGTTGACTGTTGCATACTTTTCATTTGAAGGCCTTTCATTCTTAATAGGAACAGTTTAGACAAAACCATCAACATTGCATGTCAATGAATATGTTCATTCTCACCAGCTAGTAGCTACTCCATGAGCTTAGCTTTTGCTTCTGTCCATGTAAAAATTGTGGTAACATTTGTCAACTTACACATAAATTTAAAAGGTATCGTGACAAAGACGTGTAAGTAGATCCCAACATGCCAAATAAAAGAGTNCTTGTTTCCAAAACAGCATAATCTAACATGGTGACTTCAAACTAAAGAAATTTAAACATTAATGCTGAATTTAAGAAATGAAAATAAATTAAAAAATGCCAGAGTGGATCACATTGCAAAGGATACTCTTTGAAGAGCTTGTCATAGTAGCGCTTCACCAGCCTTTGCTCCCATGAAGGATTCATATCATCTTCTTCAGTCCTTATAAATCTTTACCAAATGATCAAACCCAGGTTTACAAAAAGAAAAATATCAATTTTAGCAGATGACCAATGGCAAAACTAAAATTTAATTCCAAAATCAACCATAGAAAAGATGGAACTCGTTGCATATGTATAGCTCTTAAGACATATCATTTGGTTAAAAGAAAGCAACTATACACAGAATGAAAAGGGGAGAAAATATAAATATATATGTGTGTGTGTGTGTGTAAAAAGTATTGAAATAAACAAACCGCACTAGAAATCAGAAATATCAGCACAAAAAGGCAAACAGTTACATAACAAGATACAAGTCACTTAGCCCCCACTTGAGCCTCATTAAATTTATAATACATTTTTCTCTCGCACACATTCTCAAATTAAAAAATGTTACACATAAATCAAAAAAAATTTCTTCTTTTTCAACTACATATTCTCTAAAAAAAATTATTCCAAAAATTATAACATCAAATAATGGGGGCCAAACGGGGGCTTAAGTTGCTTCCTCATCCTGTGCATTCCACAGAGAGCAAAAATTTGATCATAAAATGCATTCAAAACAAATTTAACAAGATCAAACACGAAAAGGTCACACACACGTATGAGACAATTCATCTGTACTCTAGAAGAACTGTCAGCATAGTTGACTAAGCTTGAATCCAACCATTTATTTATAAATGTATCCTAAGAAAATGACAGCTTCACCAACCTTTGCTACCCAAGATTTTTTACTTTTCTTTTTAATTTTAGGAATACTGGACAGGGGCGGACCCAGGATTATGATCCAATGGGGGCGAGAAAAAATTACGTAAAAAAGAATTTCAAGTTAGAAATAACGATGATAATCAAAACGTAGTACTTTTTTACAATTGTTCCTTACGGCTTCTCATACTTTGAAAACGCCGTATAATAGTCTTGTTATCGATTTCGTTAAATACATCTTTTTCCACATACACAACTAAGCTATCATTCATCCACTGGTCTCCAATTTGATTACGCAGTCGATTCTTCACAATGTTCATAGCCGAAAATACTCTTTCAACTGAAGCAGTAGCAACTGGAAGAGTTAATCCTAAAGTCACAAGCATGTAAACTAATGGATACATTTTATTTCTTTTGGTCTCAACCAACTTCAATGCAAGTTCACTAAGTCCCTTCAATTCTCTGAACTCCTTGTTAGAGCGCATATCAACAATGTAGTTTCGAAGCTGATCATCAAGTGTCATGAGCTGTATCTTTGAAAAATCTTTAGGATAATACTTAGCAAGACGAATTAATTTATCCTTGTCAAAAGCAGAGAATGAATCATCGGGGCATAAACATGCTAAACAAAGAAGTAACTCTGTACTTACCTCAGAAAAACGATCATTCAATTCTTGAAGTTGCATATCAATGACAGAATAAAATAAATCCACACGAAAGCGATGAAAATTTGTCATTTCTTCAGTATTACGCCGTGAGCGACCTGGGCATACAAACACACTATCCATATCAGGAACATCAATATTATGCTTTTGACAAAAAGAAACGACTTCATCCAAAAAGGAATCCCACTCATTGTCCCTCATTTCTTGGAGTCTTTGTTTGCATACTGTCACTAAACTCATGGCATTTACAATATCCTGATCTTTTCTTTGTAATGCCATAGACAATTCATTGGAAATTCCTAAGATAGTTCTCATGAGGTGTAAATTAAACACAAACTCAAATGACTGCATTGAGTCCAATAAATTATCAGCATCACATCTTTGTTCACGGGTTGATCCATCAATTGAAATCATTTCAATGACATCAATTATAGGTGAGAACATCAATATCAAACTAACCAAAGTACGATAATGCGATCCCCAACGTGTATCACCAAAACGTGCAATAGTACTTTGTTGATTAAGACCTCGCCCACTTGAAATCTCACCATTAATGAGTGCTTCAGAAATTATGGCTTCTTGTTTCTCTCGGAGAATATCACAACGTTTAGAAGAAGCTCCAACAATATTCACCATGCTAGAAACCAAATTAAAGAGTTTTTGGATTTTCTTATGCTTCTTTGCCATAACTACAAGAACTAATTGAAGTTGATGAGCAAAACAATGAACATAAAAGGCGCTTGGATTCTCTTTCAAAATAAGTGTTTTAAGACCTTTGAACTCACCTTGCATATTACTCGCCCCATCATAACCTTGACCTCGCAATCTGGATATACTCAACCCATATCTTGAAAATAATTTATCTATAGCCGCTTTAAGCGATAGAGCTGTAGTACTGGAAACATGTTCAATTCCAATAAAACGTTCAACCACATGTCCTGTCTTATCAACATAACGTAAAACAATAGACATTTGCTCCTTCACTGAGATATCTTGAGATTCATCAACTAAAATTGAAAATAATGTATCATCAATATCTTTGATGATAACATCAATCGTTTCAATAGCTCCAGCACTTACAATATCCTTCTGAATTTTTGGTGATGTTAGTTTGTGATTTTTTGGAGCATTTTTCAAAGTGACAGCTTTAATCTTTTCATTATGATCAGCTAGAAACTTCAACTGTTCAAGAAAGTTACCTTGATTATTTGACTCTTCACACTCATCATGACCACGAAAAGCTAGTCCTTGACGTAAAAGAAGTCGTATACAATCAATTGATGCATTCAAACGAATTCGATATGCACTCCGTGCTCTTTTTGACTGCTTGAATAAAACTGTCTCAATATGTTGCTCTTGATTCATCAAGGCTTCACAGTTTCTTCGGGCTTGATTGTGTGCACTATGGACATCTCCAACATGAACTCCAAGTCTATCCTTCTTTTTAAAATTATGGAACCCTTCTTTTACAAAAGCATCACCACCTCCTTGTTCCCCATTGTTTGGTCCGAAAAGATAACAGTATAAGCAAAATGCAGCATTTTTACTTATACTATATTCTAACCAATCAGGATATTCATTGAACCAAGCAGGAATGAATCGCCTTGATTTTTTACGTGGAAACACATGACTCCGAGGGTGACACGGACCTCTCTGCAAGTATGCTCTTCTTATTTGATCTCGAAGATTAACATTATAATCCAATATTGGAGTTCTTAATCCGGGATTCGTGGGAAGTTGTGCAACATCAATATGCTCAATACTTGCTTTCTTTACCTCATCATTTTCTTGAAAATTAGTGTCATCAATACTTGCTTCCTTTGCTTTATCATTTTCTCCAACAGTAGCATCCTTACCACTGGCTTCCTTTGCCTCGACATTTTCTTCGATAGAAATTTCCTCAATGCGTTGTTTCTTTGCCTCAACATTTTCTTCAGTAGATATTTGAGATACCCTTTTAAAATATCTCAACATATCTTCCTATCCTACAAGCCAAACAAAGCTTGCATAAATATACCAATGGTGAAATGGAAAGTTAAGAGATGAACTCCGAATCTAAAATTGATGAACTAAAATGACCTTGATCTAAAAAATAAGTGAGTTTCTCAAGTAATATAAATGAAAAACAAATACTCAGATGGATACTTGGATATCAAATATAAGCAACTAAAACCCAAGAGACCTAAATCCTAATGTATATTCTTTTTATAAGTTCCGATAAAAATACGTAAAAATGGTAACAATTAACATTTGAGAATCCAAGTCCAACAAGGCAACAACTGAAGTTACTGAACCACTACAAATCTACAATCCAAGATTCCAAATTCAACACATTTTCGGTTTTGCCCCTCATCCAAATTCCAATTTCCAAGAGACAGGAACTTAGGAAGAAATTAATTAAATATAAGTTATCTAACAATTTACAATTCAAGGTCACATTATCAATTCATATTGCAATTCATTTCATTCACTTTCACAGTTTCACTGATTCATCGTTCACGGCTGACGGGCGACAGCTACGGCTTCAAATATTTTTTTTAATCCAACCACAATATCTAAACTTGCTATTTGCATAAATAACTAACAAAAACAAAAATAATAAGATTAAGACAGAGAAATTGATTACCAAAAATTTGTTTCTTCAATGTTCAAATTTCAATCTATTCGCATCGCAATTCGCACCGCAATTCGCACCGTCCGTCCTCCGTCTCACAGTCGCCCACTCTTGTTGCCTCTTACTGGTCCATAGGGTTTGGGAAATTATGGACCATATTTCAATGTTAAAAACTTATAGATTGTTGGGCTTGGGTTAAAAATCATGGGCTTCTATTAATCTATTGTATGGGCCTTTTTTTTAATGTCAAAAAATTTAGGGTCCAGTGGGGGCAATTCCTTAGTAGGTCCGCCCCTGATACTGGAGATGTGTTCCTATACATGCGCAGTGGATACTTTACAGAAACATAAGATTTTACATTGCCCATCTATGCATCACATTCTACCCTTTCTTCATCTTCATCTGAGCACAGCCTAAATCTTCTCCAGATGATTTCATTGTCTTCAGTTCTATTTCTCCAGATCCTGATAGCATTGATTCCTTCTCACCACTGGGTCCCAATCCACAAATGGAGACTTAATTGGCAGTTACTGCCTGAATCTCTCATAAAAACTAGTCCCATAACATAAATGTGCACCCATCAAATCACTTCTATTGCATCCAAATAACTCAACCACTGAAGCTCAAGCCTTTGAACTCCACAAGATTATCGTCTTCTCACCTTGCAAGAAATGTTTTTCATTATCCGTACATCCATATCCTTAATGTCTTGCCCATTTCTAAAATTCCTTGGGACTATTTTTCTTGAAAAGGATTATCCAGCGCTTCCCCGTCCCCAACACCCCCTCCCCACCCCAACTAAAATAATAATAATAATAATAATAATAATAATAATAATAATAATAATAATAATAATAATAATAATTAAATGAAGATCCTTGATAGCATTGATTCCTTCTCACCACTGGGTCCCAATCCACAAATGGAGACTTAATTGGCAGTTACTGCCTGAATCTCTCATAAAAACTAGTCCCATAACATAAATGTGCACCCATCAAATCACTTCTATTGCATCCAAATAACTCAACCACTGAAGCTCAAGCCTTTGAACTCCACAAGATTATCGTCTTCTCACCTTGCAAGAAATGTTTTTCATTATCCGTACATCCATATCCTTAATGTCTTGCCCATTTCTAAAATTCCTTGGGACTATTTTTCTTGAAAAGGATTATCCAGCGCTTCCCCGTCCCCAACACCCCCTCCCCACCCCAACTAAAATAATAATAATAATAATAATAATAATAATAATAATAATAATAATAATAATAATAATAATAATAATTAAATGAAGATCCTTGTCATATATTTTTACAGTACACGTTACAAAAAAAGGGCACTTCAGCAGCTGCACAATATCATGCTCAATCTTTATGAAATTTAATGATGACTTAATAGCACTTCAATAGAAACAGTGGACTGCAGCAAAGTTTGAGTTATGAATATCCATGAAGTAGATGATACAATATATACAAAATTTTAAAGACACAAAGAGTCAGATCCCTCTCTGAGGGTGTCTTGATCTGTTTTAACTGGCAACTTATCTTGTGCGGATTTCTCTTTTCCATAAAATCCAACTGCAAGTAAACACTTTTTAATATACATTGAACCAAGTAGAAAAATAGAGTAACACGCTAATCCTGCTGTGTGCTAACTACTGCAGAAGAAAATTAGCAAAATTCGATCCAAATTATTGTAATCCTGTAGTTTACAATCTCGTATCTCAAGGAGATAGAAATATCATCAAACCAAAAGTGTATTTTTAATAACTTTCTTGAAGTTTTTGCATCTTTTCCAATTTAGTCTTTAAACAAATAAGAAAAAGGGATTCATGGAGTTCAGTACTTGGCCCAAGATTTTGGGTATAAGTAGTCCAACGAACGCATGATTATTGGACAAAAGAAATGCGTAGCTCGTTATTTCTTTTACAGCAAACGCACTGGTTGGAGACAAGGGACAGCGGTATCAATTGCATAAATCAAGAAAGAAAACTGGAATATGTACTGCAAATATGCAAACGTTAAACACAATAAATGGAAGAGAGTTTAAAAGAATTGATAATGGTTACATCAGCAACGAAGTCATTAGTACTAGACACGATAACAATTACACAATAACACCCAACAATTTTAATACAAAATACAAATATACAAATATGAAGCAGGAACGTGAAAATGACCATAATCATTCAAGAATTTCTTGTGGCGATCGTATGCATTAAGACCTCGTATATGAAATTGATACTGCCTGTGCGTAAAGCAAATGGACATAGGTCAGCCCAATTCAACAACAATAAATTATGCAGGTGTAGAGAGAGAGAGACTGTTTTCTGGCTTCTTTATCGAAGATTGCTTGCTTGAGAGACCCAAAGGATGCCATCCGCTTCTTGTCCCTTTCTCAATGATTCGAAAGACTGATTTTAGGAAGGGGAAATTCTTCACTCTGTTCTTTACGCTTCAATTTTCCTTCTTCTTGGCATGGGCGGCTCGGCTCATTCCACACAACTCCATGTTCTAGACGAGCCGAACCGCTGGCCAAGTAAATCAACTGACGATAAAAAATAAAAAATAAACCGCTCCGACAGGTTGGTGGGACGGGGTGGACGCGGGGCCATGCCCCTCCTCGAACGTGAAGAGAAAACAAAAAATAATAATAAAAATAATTTTAGATCTAGACAATTCCTTGTTAAAAATTCATTTTGAATTTGTATTTTATTCTTCAATAATAGTATAATTCGAAATTTTGAAATTGTAAAAAAATAAATAAATAAATAAAATATTACTTGTGAATATCTGATTTTATTTTTATTTTTATAACAATAATATGACTAGTCAAGATACCGCCCTTTTTTTATTTTCATTCTTTTAAAAATTCATTTTTTTCAAAATTGTTTTTCAACTACACATTTTTTAATAAAATGATATTATACTGAAGTTCAATACTTTTTTTGGGGGACGTTTGTTTTTCATTTTTGTAAAAAATGAAAATGAAAATTATAGACGTTATGGATTCCACACAAAAAACAGAAATTCAAATTTGGTGGCTTGATGTGATGGATAACGATCATATTTTTCATTTTAATATGGAAATAATGGAAAACAAACAGGAGCTTAATTTTTAACCACACATTCTCTATAAATCTATTATCAAAATTCATTATCTCTCCCAAAATGGGGATCAAACAGGGGCACAATTGCAATGTCATCCTTGTTTAATTTTTGCCCCCATTTGGCCCCCATTTCAGGATAATGAAAGTGGGTGAAATGGTATTTTTTTTGAAAAATGAGTGGTTGAAAAAAAAGAAAAAAATTTCGATTTACGTATAATATTATTTCATGGAAGATTATATGGTTGAAAATAGGAGAGAGAAAAATTAAATGTAACGGAATGAAAATTAATGGGGGTCAAATAGGAGCTTTATATACAGCATTATGCTTAACTTTTAAGTAGGGAAAATTGCAATCGATGTACCAAACATTTCGTTTATTAGCAAACTTTGCTCAAACCATTCGTTTGTGTCATCGAAGGTACCAAACCTTCAAAAAATTTGGACTAGAAGTCCAAATTGGCAGAAACCGTTAATTTGACTGTTATTGACCAAAAATTAAAGATTTGACCAATTGTTGACTGATTTTTAATGGGGTAAATATGTAACTTTACATTTTCATATAAAAAATTTAAATAAAAAAATAAAAAACTAGTCATCTTCTTCACCCACCCAAAACTAAAAGTCATCTTCTCTACCCACCCAAAACCAGAAACCAGGTATCTACCAATAAAATCAAAAATTGGAATCTTACTTTCCTCACCTTCGCTAGAAGCTTGACTGAAATCTCAAAAGCTAATTTCAAACTTTACAACTTATTTTCCTAACTCTCTAAAAATCAGTAAAATCTGGAAGAAAGAAAATAAAAACCCTACTTTGCCCATCAACAAGAACCCATCAAATACCAGTGCATTTGTATGGACTAGTTTTTGGGAGAAAGAAGATAAAAACTCATCAAATGCACATTTCAATTATTGGTATTATTTTTATTATTTTTGCCCCCTTTTACTCTCTTCTCTTGAAACCCTCAATTCCATTTCTTCCCAAACAACCCCTCAAATCCTACAAATATCCCCACTATATCCTCCCATTTCTCCTTCCACTGGCCGTTCTCATCGGAGCTAGTCATTCTGGAAGTGCAAACTGGTATTGTTCATTTACCAAATTGGTTTTTGGTTTTCATATGGGGGGGGGGGGGGAGTGAGTGGAGATGATGATTGTAGTTTTTTTTATTTTTTTGGTTTTAAAATATAATTATTTTATTTAAATTTTTTATATGAAAATGTAAAGTTATACATTTGCCCCTTTAAAAAATCAGTCAACAATTGGTCAGACCTTTAATTTCTTGTCAATAATAGTCAAACTAACGGTTTCTGTCAATTTGCACTCCGGGTGCAAATTTTTTGAAGGTTTGGTACCTCCTGTAGCACAAATGAAAGGTTTGGATAAAGTCTGCTAATAAATGAAAAGTTTGGTACCTCAACTGCAATTTTTCCTTTTAAGTATTACTTTGTTTGAGCCCCATTTTAAAAGAAAAAATGTATTTTTAAATAGTGATTTTTGGATAATGTAGGGTTAAAAATGGAAAATAGTTATCGATGTACGTGTAATATTATTAATATTAAAGAATGTATTGTTAAAAATGAATTTTCAATAAAATGAGGATCAAATAAGGACTATACGTGATCTTCAGATCGAGAAAATTGGAAAGATTGAAGTGGGGGTGAGAAAGATATAATTTTCTCCCCTTTTTATTCAACTAAAGTTTAAAACATATTAATTTTTTAAAAAAAAATGATTTTTAAGAGTCAAATAAATGGTTTCCTCTCAACAAACCATTAAAAAAAGTCAAATATGATATACCAAATTCAGCTCAATTATCGATAGGGTGAATAAATTTGTCATTTTTTTAGGCCACATTTGGTACCCATTTTTTTTTAAATGTATTTTTCTCTCTCTTCTTTTCAACCACACCTTCTTTATTAAAATAATATTAAACGTAAACAAATAACTTTTCCTTATTTTTCAACAATACATTTCCCATCAATTTACTATTTAAAAATGCATTTTTACATAAAAATGTCTTCCAAACACCCTCTTATACTGTCCTATGATTCAAAATCTTGATGTAATCTTCATCATTTTATTTGCCATTTTACATTTATCTACAACTTATTTATCCCGATTTATAAATATCGATTCAGTGTTTGGAACCTTAACTAATCTTTGTTTAATGGAGATTAAAATTAAAATTTTAGTAGATTTTGATAAAAGTTAATGAAAAATGTAAGATTCTATAAAATATGTTATTAAAATTAATCATTAACTAAATTTTATTTTTAATTCCTATCAAATAGGAGCTTAACATTATTTTCGAAAATATATTTTCAAAAACACTAGATTAAGATCCTGTTTGATTTTCATTTTTCTAAGAATGAAAATGAAAAATACAGTTTTTATGGGATTCACACAAGAAATAGAAAGTCAAATATGATGAATAATGGTCATATTTTTCATTTTTATGACCAAAGAATGAAAATCAAACGTACCATAAACACATTTTCAATATTTTACAGAACTAAAAACTGAAAATTGAAAATAATTACTTTGAAAAGCAAATCAAACCCTTTAAAATTTTTAAATTTTCTTCCAATTACACGTTGGATTGAGACCGATGGGCTTTTCTAACTAACTCGTAGGTGCACAGAACAGTGTACACCTTT